TTAATTTTTTAAGATTCAGAGTTCAAATGTATGGCTTTAAAGGGGAAAAAAGCAGAAGCGTTCTGTCTGCATGCATTTTCATTCAGGACTTTTATTATTTTCATAAGGTACTGTGTAAGTAAAAACAGGAAGGTACTAAAATTTATCTTATGGCAGAGAGAGTAGGGTTCCTGTTTGTGCTCACCCCTCTGATTAAATATTTACAAATTCAAGTTTTTCTTCGTCTGAGCTAATTTCTGTGGAATATTTACTGGGTCCATCCCCCACACCCACACATTGGTCTAACCTAACGTTACTGAAAAGCTTGTTTGAGCATTATGAGTTTTAGAAAACCCTTTGAATTTAAAAACAAATTTCCACGATGATCCATGAAAAAACACAAAGTTTTTGTATCTTTTCAGGGAAAAAGAGTAAAAAATATCATGGACAAGAAATGTATGCGGAAAGGAAAAACATTACGATACTTGAATATTTGAGCCTGAAAAAATCATGAAGGTCTCTTGCGGGTCATTTCCGCGTCAATCTTGTACAGAAAACAATAAGCTCTTCCACCCGAAAAACTGCAAGTAATTGAGTCGAATATCTGCCTAGTAATCAAATGACCGACTGGAATATTTTTTTCGATATCACGGTGATGGTTGTATAAAAAAGAATATGCTCCGAAAAACATCTCAGTTTCGTCACAGCTTTCCTCCCCTTCCTCTGGACGTGAACGTGGCTCAATTGGGTTCCCTATAATGGTGAAAATTGACAGCTTACATTTTTATCTTCGTTGACTTGTTTTTGAGATGAGTGAGTTACTTCAATTGGTCGCGAGCGTAGGAATCGGCGGCCTGGTGGCTTATTGTGTGTGGCATACATTGCTGTTCATCAAGCCTTTCCTGTCATTCCTGTTTCCACACTATTATCCTGTGTTGTATGATGTGTCGTCCATTGAACCACAGCCACCACCACCGAGAAGCGTCATCGAAGAAACGTGCAGGAAAGGTATGAAGAACCTGCATAAAACTACCTAGAAATTATTAGCAGTATATAAGCGTATTTATAAGTTTCAACTTTAAAGGAAGAGCTGGTAGGAATTTGAATAATCACGAGCACCGAGGGACTTCGAAAAGATTTTGTAATACTTGAAAATTCTTTGAATTAATATTTTTTGACAAATAATTCGAAATTTTGCTTCCCTCAAAACGAGTGGGTTGTATATTCGGAGAGTTGGTATGGAAATGTTTTCATAGCAAAATGTTCACTTCTAGAGATTGTCTTTTTCAAAAATGACCATAATTGCATCATGGATTGGTGGCTAATGCCCCTTGAAGCACTCATTTTTCTGTTCAACACCAACTTTTAAAATTCAGAGCAGAGCTCTGATTTTTTATCATCGCTAACATTTGCAATTCGGAAACTGCATGAAAAAGAATTCTTGAAAGTGTGTTCTGTCGTGTTGATTTTGAATTGCTTCTCGCTTTTTTTGTTGAATCAAGCTCTTTATAGGCATTAAAGTCATCCATTTTCTGTCGGGACTTCAAGTAAATATGATGCAACAGTATTTTTTGTTAAAAAAAAATAGTACTGTAGTCAAGCCTTGGGTTTTTTGAATAATGTAACAAGCGAGAATATTATTTTTGGACCAAATTGAAATAAATTGACTTGCGCTTCTTACTTAAATTATCTTAAATCAATTATCCGAATCCAAGACTGTGTGCTTTTCTGTAGCAAATTTTGAAGGTGCTTCGGATTGCTGTTTAAATTGCATCGATTGGGATTAAGTTAAACAAGTTAGACCTATAGGCTAATGTTAGTTCCTGTCGTTTATGTCGGATTAGTCTATGTTTGGTTAGTACGCATCGATAGTGATTCAGGCGACATCTGGTTGACATTTGAACGCTAGGAAAATAACCCCGATTTCATCAACGTACAAGCGAAAGTAATTCACACCGAGGCAGGAAGGAAAGTGCTATTTTCCATTGGTTATGACTCAAACGTTTCCTTTCCATTATCCATCCGACTTGCATGAGTCTTGCATCTTGCAAATACATAATTTGCCCTAGTTTCTGTGCCAAATTTCAGTAGCACATTTTTTTTACGAGGGATTCCAGTTTTAGAAAAAAAAATGGTTGAAGCGGTGCTGGAGAAAATTAACTGAATCTTTTTTCACTTTTGCTGAAAAAAAAAACCGCAGAGTTTACAAAATTCAAGGTCAACGGGACGAAATGGGACGTGATCATTGTGGGAAGCGGAATAAGTGCGTTGACCTCGGGGGTCCTTTTGTCTCGGGCCGGGAAAAAAGTGCTGGTTCTGGAGCAGGCACCTGAGGTAATAACCGGCTTTACGACTTTACTCTCTGTTACATAGACAACAACACCGGGGAACTTGACTTGCTGCTGTTCAAGTGTCTCTAAGACGCATTGTTATAGAGACCTTCTGGTTATTTTGATTCCCCAGGCTGGCGGTTGTCTGCGGACGTTTCATCTGGACGGTTACGAGTTCCAAGTCGGCTGCCATGTCCTGGGGCTCACGGGGCCCTGCGAAGGTGTGAATTCGTTTGACCTACTGAACCAGGCCACTGGAGGAGCGATGGCTTTTGAGAAGCAAGGTGAACACTTGGAATTCCTCGACTGCTTCTTCCAATTCCTTGACCAAAAACCGGCCGAGATTTTTCTTTGTTTCTTTCAACAATTTCTTGTTTCATTATCCGACGTCAAGAACGCATTGCCACTATAGCACCCCGATCCAGAAATGTTTAACGTACAGGGTGCATCCGAGTAACGGTAAAGAAACTTGATTTCAGGCGGAAAGTTCTCCTCGTCTTGTAACTTAACGGAGATTCAAGAATAAGTCCAGACAATTCAACTGTCGAACTTTCCCGCGAATTTCAATTGCATTAAAGCTCCCATGGTTTCATTTCAATCCTGAAAAAAAAACCAGATACTGGGTTCTATGTCTTGTCCACTGAATCCTTCTGAAAAACTCCTCGGATCAGTCTTTCCTGCTCTGGAAATGGCAAAGGAAGCGAAAGATTGTGAAAATTCTTCACATGCAGACATGATATGCAAAAAAAAAAAAAAATCCAGATAGCCATGGAAACTTTAGGATGATGCGCTTGAAACCCTGTACAGTATTTATAAACGTCATGGTGAGGACGAAGAACAGAAAAAATCGCCATTTTGAATAACGCAATTCAAATCGTAATCGAGCAACGATATGCTTGAATAAATTTTGGAAAGTGTTTGTGCAAAGAGAAAGCGAAGACGAGGAAGAATTCTAAATTGTGTTCTGGGTTTCTACGAACGAATCCATGAAATCGCAGAATCCATAACATTATTACTGGAAATCTACTTCTTTAAACTGCATCACGAAAGCCAAATTTTCAAACGGAAACATTTTCCAGCAGAAATTATTTTTATATTTTAAAGAATTTTCTACTTTCTTGGACCACCCTGTATTTTGAAAGTCTTTTGATAATTACTTCAGGACACAGTGCAAAGGGAAACTCGGAATTCGAGGGATGTGAGCAAACATATTTGCAGAAAGGAGAATGGAATACCTGTTGGTGCTTTTCTACAGAAGAGATTTAAACCGTGAAAGAATTTCTCTGAAATTTTCTTCCCGTAATGGAAGCTTGCCTTCACGCAACATCCAAAAAGACAAAAAAGTCCTGTGATATCCCGAGTAATTGAATCGTGGGAAATTTTGATTCTTTGTATGGTTTCGTGTACTGGACTCGCTTAAGATTCGCCCGCATTTCACGGCATGAATCGTATACGAGCGAGTGTATTTAGTTCATTTGTTTCACGAAGAGCGTGAAATGAATGCAATGCCGCTGGCATAGTTCCGGGTTTCCAACAAAAAGTCCACTAATGTCAAGTACTGCTTGCATTTTTGCGCTGAAATTTCCGGATCTCGACTGCTGTGGTCCGGAAATTTTCACTCACCTGGTAGGTGGAAAAGTTACTGTCTTTCTGAGTATTACAAAAGACTCGGACTTTAATTTTGGACCAGTGGTTCAGAACTTGAATAATCCGAACAATCTTTGGCGAGTTACTTTTAAATTGTGCTGCAAAACTTTTAATGAATGAGGGGGTTTTGGTATCACCTCTGCCTGGCCAAGTACCACCGGTGGTATGTGTGCCACTGCCCGGGATACCAGAGACTAGGTTTACTATACATGCCACTTTCCTCTTCACAAATTATGGGTTCATCGTGGCTTCTGAAAATTGCGAATATGAAAAGTGCTCTTGGCAAGTTAACTACACCAGACATTTTTGCGCAAAGCACCACCAATAAGGGCACAACTAGCACTGCTAAAAAAGTCAATCTCAGTATTAATGAGTAGTAGAGCATCCGCAGTGCACCGAGTGTAAATATTATCTTTTCTTTTATTTATTTATAAAAGAAAAATATATAAATAAATTCAAATCCCAGTGGGATTCAAACCCACGCCTGCAGAACCAGACTGTGACCTGAACGCAGCGCCTTAGACCGCTTGGCCATCCTGACAACTTAATTTAATGGATGCGTTTTCCCTTCTGAGAAACAAACAGTAAACAAGATGCAAAATCAAGAGGCCACAGACACACGTTACACAGCATCCTTATTATTTCCCCCCAGACCCCTGTAGGATCCTACTGCTCGTTCCTCCCACTGCGGATGTAAATTTCTCAGCCGCTGGGGGAAGTCAATTATGAAATTTACGAAATGAGATGCCGCGCAAGGAGACATATGTAACAAAATATATTCTTGTAGAAGAAAGGTATTCAAAATATATGTGACAGCCATGGCTCATTACTCAGTGAATATAAAAGCGTAGGAAGTCACCTTGAAGATAAAGTGTACATTTTATGACCAGTGGCAGACTGAATAAGCGTAGATGTTGAAAATTTCCATTTCAATGAACGGAACCTCTAGTAGTTTACAGTACATTCATTCGAACATATTCAGCAGAAGAAAATATCTTCAAGCTGTTATTCACAACGTGAAGGCTTAAAACTAGCATTTGTGCTTTTTTTTAAGATAGGGAGGAATCTAAAAAATTCTGAATTTATAAATTTAAGGAAGGGCTCTCTTGAATTTTATGCAATATTTTAGTGTAGCATGAACAAAAACACAAGGATATTCACATTCATAACTTGATGAGAAAGCCAGAACGATCAAGTCGAAATGTATGACCTGTGTAAAGTAGGTTCTCTACGGTTGGGATATATTTCTAGGAGGAATCCGTCGGGGTAAAAAAAAATTCTAGGGAATGCTGTTCAAGAGGGAGACATTTCTAGTGATCTTCTTGAAAAATGCTTCATGTTGGGTAGACCCGGATGTTGAAGTTCTTTCTTTGAGCAGATCCGGAGTTTGAGCAAATTCTGATCCGGCACAAAGATGAGTCAAAGACGAAGCTTTACACCCAGAGGTTTGGGTCACAGGCAGTGTGGGAAGAAAGCATGATTGCCCAGTTCCCCAAAGAAGCCGACACGATTCGCAAGTAGGTTCGCGTGGTTTTTTTAAAATTTATTTTATTTGCATATCCTGAAACTTTTTCTGCGCAGAGACAGAAGTATTACTGTACTGCGGTCCTGGGTAATTATCCTTTTTCCACAGGTTCACTCAGGCGTGCAGTGAGGCATACAAATCCACGTACATCGTGTTTGTTGTCAAATACTTGCCATTCTGGCTCGTTCGACTGGTACTGAAAATTGGCTTCATCCGGAAGTTGTTCGAATACGAAAAGTGGCAAAACTTGAACACCCGGGATTATCTCAATGTACGTTCCCCTTTTTCAGCCGGAAAGCTTTTCCAAGCTTTACTCGATGCTGACAAAGATTTTTTTTTATTTTTCCGTGGAGTTCGCGGGAAAATTTAAACTTGATTGAAAAATTTTCCAGAGTCTCTCGGACAACTCAGATTTGAAAAAGTTCATGGCTTGTCCTGCTGGCTACATTGTGCCTGATCCTGAGGGCTCTAACATGATTGTTACTGGTTTCATACCGAAATTCCTGATTAATGGTAAGAGGAATTTACTCCGAATCATTCAAATGCTTTTTATAAACTGAGAAAAGCGAGCCGTCAAACAAGAGAAAGTCGGTTTATAAGGCAATAATACTGACGTTTTGCCCTCGAGCAAAATAGGTACAAAAATGTGAAGAGAAAAAAAGACAGTCTAAAAACAGATCCCCATTCTAAACGCAGCTGAACCCATTCAACGCTTTACAAAGATGGAATTTTTAATTGTCAATTTCGTGGTTCCACTCCTTGGATCATTTCCTTCGTTGTTTGAAGACACCTTAAAAGATATTACATATAGTTTAACCTCTTAAAATCGAACATAATTCTCTTTGTCAATTTGATGAGTCCTGTCTGAATTATATTCGAAAAATTCATGAAAACCCTTTTTCAATTTGAAGGCTTTCCCCCTCAAACCTCAATTACTTGAATTTTGTGGAGGCCTTTTGACAATTATTTTTTGGATCAGAAACGAGAAGAGCAATAAAAAGTAACTTGATGCGTTTTGAAAGGAAGTGAAAGACTGATAGCTCAAAGAAACCCTTGCTTTTAATATTCAAAAAGCATTGAAGGTACAGAATATCACGAATTCCAATAGCCTGATAATTTTTCTCTCTTCCCCCCCCCCCCCCCCCAAGAAAAATGCTAGTGTCTGTCCATATTTAAAAGCCTCTTTAGGTCATTTCTATTCTGACTCTCCCTCGAAGTTTGACTTGCTGAAGAGGTTGGGCTGTACTTTGTGCCTCAGGTGTTTTTTATCCACTTGGCGGTCCTGCAAAGATGGCTTACCACCTTGTCAAACAAATCCAACGCATGGGAGGAGAAGTGCTGGTGAATGCAAATGTTGCCGCTATTCTGCTGGACAAGGACAAAACCCGAGCCTATGCCGTGGCTGTGGAAAGTGAAAACGAGGGATCACTGGTTATTGAAGCTCCTATCATCATTTCAAGTGCAGGTGAAAACTTTTAAAGAGTTGTCGATTTCTTTTTGGAAGTCTCATTTATACAGAACAACAGTATTACAGGTTTTAACTGCTTTAAATATAAATCCAGATTCAAAGAACATCAGAGTGCTATAAGGCAGTAATGCAACTTCAGAGCAGTTTAATTTTTTAAGATTCAGAGTTCAAATGTATGGCTTTAAAGGGGAAAAAAGCAGAAGCGTTCTGTCTGCATGCATTTTCATTCAGGACTTTTATTATTTTCATAAGGTACTGTGTAAGTAAAAACAAAACGAACACGCAACGCAATCCGCACACGAATCACCAAGAAGTTCATGATAAAACTTGGTTTCAAAGGCAATGAAAACACTAGTAATTCCAGAAAAAAGTTTTTGTACTTGATGCAATCACTTGCATTGCATCATACTGGAGTGCATATACTTCATTCAATATTTAATATAGAAATTTGTTTGAGACCTTAAATTGAGGCTTGAGCTGTTTCCTAACTTTTAAATCGATCAAACTGACAAATCTTGAGCTATGCTCAGTTATTTCATAAAATAAAATTTACCTTTGATGATAAAAATCTCATATTTACTGGAAAACTTGCGCCAAATATTTTTATCTCATTGACGCAAAAGCTTTGGGTGCAACAGTGGCTTCAGTAAACTAGTTTAGCAACTGATGAATAAATTCAATTTGGCAACAGAAGCCTCTATGCTTTACATGGCTTCCTTTAAACATTTGAAGGAATTTGGAACACGTTCGAACGACTCATTCCAAGGGAGGTGAGCATGCAGTTTCCGATTATAGCCGAAGCGCTGCGAGTGGCTCCACCTTTGGCGCCATGTGCGCCATTGATTGCTTGGGTCGGCCTGAAAGGTACGACAGAAGAACTTGGAATCAAGCAAGCCAGTGTTTGGCATCTGAGAGGAGAGGGAGACTTTTTCCAGGTAATGATTTCCTGTCGTAAAATTCTGCTGACATATATATTTCGTCAAGAGATTTCTAAACTTGAAGAAACAGTCTTCAAAGAAACTTGTCCTTTATTTTTATTACGTCACGCTTTCTTAATGAAATCTATGACCATGAAATCTATTCGTCAGCATTTAAACATCTTCGAGTGACATCTAGGAAATGAAACCACCGATTCGCAGCACGACAGTCTCAGACAGCCCTTCTCGAATTTTTTCGAGTTTCAACGTAGTTTTGATGCAAAATACAGGAAGTCAAACGCTTTTAAAATCAGATGGCAGGCATCTGCATTTTTCTGAGATGAACTCTTCATGTCTGTAGTTAGTTATCTCATGTGTCATTCAATTTGCTTGTCTTTCCAAAAGGAGTACAAGAGCTACCTTGAGATGACCCGAGAACAAGTACTGGAAATGGAAGAAGTTCCATTTGAATGGACCTTGATCCAATTTATGTCTGCGAGGGAGAGTGATTACAACGTCAGAAATCCGGGTATGATGAAAATCGAATGCATTCATTCATTCATTCAATCATACAGTATTGCAGGTCAAAAATATCGAAAAATTAAATCCCAGGGAGTGCCTTATGCTCCTAAAAATGCATTCCATCTTGACCACATCTAAAACTTGGACCCAATTTTCCAGGTTTTACGCGTAAATTAAATTTTAAAACGATGCCGTGGACTGAAGCTTGAATTTATTTACCGACTTGTTCTATTTCGCTCGGAGACACACCCAAAACTCGTAACGCAGCAACGATTAAAAATCCAGAATTGTGGTGCATACTTTATTGTAGCTATATTCTTCATTAGATCCTGAATTCAGCTTCATCAACCATGCTTAATTCTAATAAATCATCTTTAAAACCTGGTGGGAAATTTTTAAAATAACCAAATAACCTTATGAATAAGCCCGACCACTTGAAAGTAAATGGTGAAACGAACTTTATGAGTGTAACTTTCATTGAATGTCCTCCACTTATTCTTCCATTGAACCAACCACTCTTTTATCTGTTCTATTTTGTTGCTGTATGCAGTGCATGGCAACAAAATATGCGAGAATAAAGGAAAATTGTTCATAAAAACCCCATAGCTCTTACCAGTAAATATAAACTATCCCAGTTATTGGCCTTGGAACTACACAGAAAATGCTTTTATCATCTTAATATCAGGGAAATATTTATAAAATATTTTGTATGATGTCCATGTTTGGTTATGCACCCCGTGCTTGCAAATATCTAAAAAATATCAGAATAATTTTAAAGAGTGCCATTAGAACTATTAGATATAATATCAGTACCACTATTTCACTGAATAACGCATTTCTGGATTTCATGGTACACAAATCATAAATATAAATTTCGAATGTTTTGTTTGGAAGTTAAAAAAAGGTATATACCAAATATTAGCATAAGTTGGACTAAGATATGCCGGCCAAATTAAATAAATTCCTTCTAAAAGTGAGCTCTGCAGTTAAAAATGGTCAGAACGGCAGCGTGCAGTACTGTATATACTCGTACGATGGAAGGATTGCAAGGCTGTATATTAATTATTTGTGTGGCTTATGCTGGGATTTGCAGGGAAGTCAGTTTGCATGATAGCTGGGTTCATCAAGTGGGACTGGTTCGCTGAATGGGACAACATGAACCTGAACGAACGCGGGGAGAAATACGAGAAGCTGAAACAGACACTCGGGGCCCGACTGATTCACAACTGGTTGCTCCAGTTCCCGCATCTCAAGGTGTGCGATTAAGGGCCCTGGGCCGCGTTTGCGGGTTAACCTTGTTTTGTTCTTCCTTTCCTCGCCGCAGGACAAAATCGACCTGATAAATTTTAGCTCTCCGGTGTCTTTCACGAACTGGCTGCGTCGGTACCATGGGAAACTCATGGGCTTCGACATGAATGCGTCGCGGTTCACGCTGGAAGTCCTGTCAGCCATGCGACCTTCAACCGGAATTGAAGGTTTGTTGCCCGAAACAAAAGCCACTTTCCCCGGTGTCTTGTGACAATAATGGGAAAAATAGAAGCACCCAATAAGAAAACTGCACAGACAAAAAGCGAATTTCTCGTATGCAGCATTATTATCCAAACCTTCGCCATATTTGCGCAAAGATCAAGTCATGAGCAAGTGAAGTATGCGTATTTTCTTGAGTATAATGCCCCGTCTTAACCCCCGCCCCCAAAGAAAGTCGGTAAAAAATAAGGTAAAAGCTACTGTTGAATAGAAATATTCAGTGAAATTTTTGAAAAAAATTGGGTGCTCTGCTGCATGCATAAATCATGGGTAAATTTTATATGAACACATTACCTCTACTATTACTGTAATATATTTTTCCTAGCTCCGTTTTGAATGATGTAGGATTTGTATGAAAAAATTTGAATTCAATTTTGTGTTTGTTATAATTTACATATTCACCCAATGTTAAATAAGAATTTTTGAAATCAATGAAATTAGAGATAATAATTTTTGAAATCGATGAAATTAGAGATAATAATTTTTGAAATCGATGAAATTAGAGATATTAATTTTTGAAATCGATGAAATGAGAGCTGAAGTGCAAGTTTTATGCCGACAGGGAGGAAATATTCTCCAAAAATTTGGCTGAAAAATCAAGATACGGTCTTAATCATATTATTAGGGATTTGTTAGTATGGAGTAAATATGGTCGACGCAGTTTAACTAGACCTTTCACGATAGTTTAGGTAAATTGCATGCATGAATGCCAAGTTATACAGAGAATGGCGACAGAGATAAAATCAGTCAGTAAGAAAAGTTTGCGCTGACAGGTTGGTTCGTATAGTTGCATTTCTAAGAAAAGCTTTCAACGAAACATTGTGACCAAATATTCAAACAAACAAAAAAAAACCACCCAGCATGAAAACCTCTGAATAACAGCAATTACCTGCAATGGTAATTGCCAGGACAGCAATTACCATATTTCTGGAGAAAAAATCTAGCCGCGCATTCTGCGAAAGAAAATGTAAGCATTTATATTTTGACAATGCTTTTGAAAAATTAGGTACAGTCACATCTGAAAAAAGTGGCGCCAACAAGATTTAGTGAAATCGTGAACTCAACTGACCTTGACGCGAGAGCAAAATGTCTAGTCATGGTTTGTTTCCTTAAATAAACTAGTTGGAAAATGCAATCATCATGCTAACCTCGTCTCGTCTTTTATTTCCAGGTCTGTACATGACTGGACAAGAAGTAACGACCGGAGGAGTGACGAATTCTTGTGCTGCGGGTTTCATGACTGTCGGTGAAATCTTGGGCAGAAACTTGCTGCTCGAATTGTTGGCGATGAACTGGAACAAGCCAAATCGGGATTTCCATATTTTGTGAAAAAGAACACGAAATCCCTGAATTGTCGCATTTTTTTTTCGAGAGATTCCAAAACTGATTGGATTCAGCACGTGGTTGACTCAACAGTGGAAGGAATAAAAGATGAACACAGCTTACGCTTAATTCCTGGAAATTGGCAGACATAGAAAGTTTTTCATTCGTGCAAACCTGAGGTCGGGTTTTAGTTTCTTATACCTTTGAGCATGATAGAGCTAATTTAGCTAAAAACTTGATTCTTTCTTAAACCAAAAAAAAAATGTTCGTCCTGAAATTTTCTGGAAATTCCACTTCGCAACGAAATTTTAGGACTAAGATACTTACGCACAAGCTCATAGATGTCACCCTTCTCATATCACGTGGTTTGGAAATGTTGCAGCTTTTCTAAAGGAAATTGACGGAGTTGAACAAAAGTTGTGCAAACTTCCGCCGGAAATGGAACTCACTACGATATGCAACTCTTCTAGCAATTGATCTTGCTTGCCTCAAGATTTTATCAGATCAGAAAGGGCTTTATACAGTATATTAGTGCCGTGCGAATTTTCCATATTTTGAATTCACGTTTTAAAAGCATGAACTTACGTTCGGATATCTCGCAGAATGTTGGAAGATGTTCACCTCATTACGAAATCATTTATTATAAATAAAGAAGAGGTAAACATTGGGACAGACCCAAAGAACATTTATGACGAGATCAGATCAAGACCTTGTCAGATCGACCTATGAACACTCAAAAAGTTGGATCGAACACGTTCTATATGATGGGGGATACATTTTTTCACTCCTCTCTTTGAATGTGCAACCACGTAAAAAAATAGCGAGATGCGTGAAACTGAATAATAGTTTTTTAAATGAAACCTGTCTTAAATGATTTGGCGATTTCAAGAAAGGCACTCATGCAGAACTAGTTCCGTGCTCGCACGAAGTTGCCCCGAAGGATTAATCTGGTGTGTGACTCGGGTTCGAGTTTTCTTGCAACAAAAAATGAACAAAAGCGTCTCATGGATATTTATTAGAATTTTCTCATTGTTACGAAAACCTGACCAGCGTTGGTGTGCTGCAAAAGCATCCGATCCACGAGTTCGAGTGGAATTAATTCAGATTAAATTGTGAGTGAGTCGTAGAGCTTCTTGTGCCTTGTTCGAAAACGAAGTTCTCTAGTTCAGTGTTTCAAGATTTTCGCAGTGTTCATCTTTCTGCCACTGCTGAACCAGCTTTCTTCCACAAGATTGTAAAAGGTGATGTGTTTATTATTTCTTTCTGCCGTTCTTCTTTTGCCTTCGTAGAGGGTATGAAGTATATGTGATGCAGCTTTTGTCTTATTGGAGATGCGCGTGTCTCTAGAAAAATTTGCTGCGTTAAATGAATTTTTATTAAACTCCTGAAAAATTTCTGAAAATAAGGAGTTCTCTCTCAAAATAATTAATTTGAATGTTACCAAAATGGTTGCAGTGAGCGGAGTCAATGGAATTTTGTATAAATGCATTGAATCTTCGGAAATAAGAGCGAACAGAAGTTTTTCACTGACAGCTTACTATAGTGTAATATATTGGGGAATTTAGAACATATACAGTAATATAATACAGCTAATATTGAAATGCGGATTATTTTACCCTCGTCGGCACCTCTAACGGAAGCTGGGGGTTTCTCGAAATATTAAGGGCCCTGTATTTGAAAGTCCTATGAAATTAAAGCTTTCCGAACTTTTAATATGTTTTTTGTTGTGTGTGGTTTTCTTGTTCGTCATTTATTTTTCCCTAGAGCATTAGAATGAATATTATTCCACTCTGGGCAATTCTAACGAATGCTTTGAGTTTCTCGAAGTACGGAGAGATCTACTACTGTACTTGAAAGTCCTTCAAAATTATGCTGGGTTATCTACTTTTCTGAACTTCGTGTTTCGACCCGTCATTAATATTCATGCATGCACATCAACCAGACATTCTGCCAACATTTCCATGTAGTCTGCTGCCCGTCGGATTCATCCTTCTAAAGTTGAGTGATTCCATATTTCGAGGCTCTTGTCCAGACGTGTAGGAAAGAAAATTCCCTTTTTCCTGCAGAATGGCTAGAAGTGCGAACTAGTTGCAGTGACAGCTAAGCTCTTGGAGGGACACATGCTTCCGGTTTCATTTCCCCTCTCCCTCGATTCACATACCATACCTGGGGTCGATCAAATGATGCAGCCGCAGTGGAGCTTCGCTAAAGTAAATTGAACCTTCTCGTTTGAGCTTTGTTGAATATGACGCCGCAGAGCTTGCCAGCGGTTGCCAATCCTCACTCCACCTTGTCCACTATGCAGGTTCTTGGGTGTATATTTTGATTCAAATGAGAACATCCAATGCCTGATGCACATTGCATTATATTAGAGTAATTAAAATTTGATTCAGATGCAAGAGTCGAACCGCGGGAGTCTGAAACGTGCAGCATTCCATATGCTTTCGCAAGCAGCGATTTTTCTCAACTAGTTCGCCTAGGTGTCGCTCATGACACCGTTGGGCAAAACCTTAATTCGAGGAAGTAGAAAATGATGAAACGTATAGTAAGATCCTTTGGGAAATGGACGAGTCAGGAGTACACAAAAGTACACGGATGTATTTCTCTTGACGGACAACAGACGAGTTCACAACACAGACGAGAAGGGTATACACAGCGTGAGCAGTCAGTACATAAGGTTCAGTATTTGAGTGAGTGTTGTTCATTTGAGGTTTTTCCTTTTATACAGGGTGGATGCCTTTGTCCACTTCACCCCGCTAGGCCGTTTAACGGTGCTCCTTCCTGTGTCCTTGGTCGGGGGCCTTGGCCTCCGGAAGCGTGGTCATTTGGCTTGTTGTTCTCTTGGTGTTTTTGTTGGCGGGTGTTTTTCCATGGTCAGTTGTCCTCTTATCTCTCATAGCATCATCGATGGTTATTGGCGGCGCTTACTGTTGTGATCCAAAATTATTTTTACGAGCAGCATATGCTGACTCCTATTTTCTCTACGTGTTTGATTGCACCCTGCTCTTTTTCTTTTTTCTTTTCTCATGCATACAAATATGCATACGCCCGTCACGCGCACCTGCTTCGAGGCCAGCTAGCTATCCAGCTTGCTGTCCTCTCGCGGTCATACATGTGTGTGTGTACATCTATTCTTTTGGGGCCAGCCAGCGAGTTGCGAAACCTGTTGGCTGCCCACCTTTAAAACTCAATGTACTGTCCTACACTATTCAG